GAAAAGCGCTTATGCTAGAAATACGAGCCTCAAAAGTGGGTAGAGCAAAACAAAAAGAGGAGTTTTAGATTATAAAAGAAAAGGTTCAAGACAGTATTAAGTGCAGATGTTTGGATATACCTCTCAAATACAAAGTAATTTACCATAACAAGACTGAACTTGAGGAGGCTGAAAAATGCCATGTGACAATTTTACTGAAAGAATTGTTTCTGCAAGTAGAATACAATAAAACTGATTCTGCCAGGCCCAATTCAATGCTGTTATGTGCCCTCAAGGCACCATTTATACTCCAGTAAAAGGAATTTGCGCATTGAAAATTATTATGTCCTTAAATCACAAAAATCCCCTGCATTTTGTACTTGCAAAGCTACAAAATGACTAATTCAAGACTCCTGCACAGAAAGTTTAGCAGTTAGCATTTTTCCCTCTCATCCCAAAGATGTGTTTCTGGGTTGGGATTTTTTTACTTAGGATCTTTGAGAAAGAAAGCCCATTGAGGTAATGAAAGATCATTTATCAAAACAAAAGAAGAGTCTTCAATGTGTTACTCTTTAGTTCTATTGTAAATGTAGTGGCCCATTCCAGATCAGTTAACTTCTTCATCAGCTTAAAAAGAAATTTCAAATAGTGCAAATCTCAGATTCTGCCAAAACCGCATTTGTTTTTTTGGGTTTTTTTTCTTATTTTGACTTGCCAAGGGTTTGTGTTTGACTTGTTGCCACCAATAAAACTATTCCTCTTTCAACAATGGGCTCTCTGGGAATGGTGTGGGAAAGCTAATCCCATTACACGGCTCCCAAGTTCCCACTCAGTGGTGACCCAGGAGCAGCAGCTTATCAGGCACTTGGCAGAGCTGTCAGCTGGTCAGCTCAAGCGGGATATTCTTCTTTGTGAAGTGAAGCAGGCCAGCAGGAACAGTAGGAGGGGTTTGTTTGTTTGTTTAAGTAAATAGAACAACAGGGAACTTCTACATCCTTGACCTGAAAGTCATGTCCTGTAAATAGAAGACATTAATGGTAGAGCACAGAGCGGCATCAATAAAACACTGCTCAGATGAGTTAATTAATTTATAATCTACAGATGAGAAGAGTTTCCCTAAGATGCTGTGTCTTGTCACATTTCCTGTGACTCTATCTCTTTCCAATATTTCAGATTATCCTAGTACTTTCTTAGGTATCTCTTAAAAGAATAGTTTTCCTTCAGGGAAGTTGTTTTCAGATTTAATGATGATGCCTTCATAATTTTGCTTCTAGTGGTGGGCATCCTGTAATACCTCTAGCCACATGGCCAAGGTCTCCTGATGATATTGAAGGAAAGATAAATACCTGGAGAACAAGTTCTCTCTTTTTTTTTTTTTTTTTTGCTAAGATGGAAACAGTGGTAGTGCTGCCTGAGGACGGGATCTTGCTTTGCCGTTTAATGAGATGAAAATTTCTTGGGGAGGGATAAGGTTATCCATAGAAACATTAAAAAATGCTTGGGAAAACATGTAAGAGTATCTTGGTTTTGGGGAGAGCAAGATTAATACAGAAGAAGAGAAAAATGTGATTTTTTTTTATGTAATTGTGCATTTGACTTATGAAGCCATCTCTGCATGAAGGGGAGGCTGCATCTGTCTTGCAAGCACTACTGTTTTCCAGAAGCCCAAGCACTGCAGATTGAAATAGAATAGAATCCCAGACTGAGCCTAACTCCAGTCTTATTAGTGTTGATGTCTTAACTGATTGTCTTAATTGTTCAATTAAAGCAAAATATTATCTGGTTGTGGCTAGAAAATACCACACTGTATCAGAACTCGGAAAAATTCAGATTCTGGTTATGGTGCTCATGGAAATATTTTTATGTGCAGTTCTTACCATTATTTCCCTGATATTCTCAGTATTTCTCTTTTACCTCAATGTAATTATAATGCTTGTATTCAGGAGACATAAACCAAACTGTGCTCATGAGAGTTTTGAATGGCCCAGTGATGACTGCCTAACCAGAAAGTATGGTGTTTTAAAGTGTCATTTAGAGAATGGCCCTCTTAAATTCTTCTGTAAGAGTCCATGCATTATTTATTTCTTTTTAAATCTCCTTTATTTTAAGCAATTATATTACTTCAGAGCAGCTCCTATTCCCTAATGTACTTTTCAAGATGAGCCAATCTTGAAAGCTACGAGGTGTCATCAGTTCCCAGTGCCAGTGACAACACTGAGGAAGCTCAGTGATTCCACAGACCAAGCACTCTGCATTGAATTGTCATTCAGCTGTAGTTTGATATTTGTTTGTCTACATAGACTTTTAATCAATGGCATGGCATTCCATGATTCTTCCTGAGGGTTTTTTCTCATTTTTGGTTTGTTTTATTTTGTGTCATTTTGTTGTTGTTGTTGTTGTTGTGTACTCAATATTTAGACCACATAGCAGAAAAGGCTAACAAAATGAAGCTGTCTTAAGAAAATTGGGGTGTGCCCCCTAATACTTGCTAACAGAAATAAGGATGCTGAACTAGATAAACATGATCTGTGTTTTAGTTTTGTAATTTTTTTTTAATTGCCTGTTACTTCTTTGCCCAAGGTCAGTCTTGTCAGACAAGTGGACCAACAGTTCTCTAGAGTAACATAAAACCATTAAGTTGCTCTTTGATCTTGCACCTTCTTTAGAGCCTTTTAATCAATTAACCATGAAGCTACTCAGCTTGTCTTATTTCCTGCACATAAAACTACTCTGGTCTAGCTGACACATTACTACATTATAGATCAAAGATTGAAGGAAATTTCACATCCAGCCAGGATAATTATGTGGAATTTTTCTGAATCCATTATATACATTTTCATGCCTCAAGTGGATGAAAACCAGCATTTTGATCTAGAATGAATTAAAGGATTCATGTGTATTTTAAAGATTGGTTAAATGGGTTTGTGCATGATTGACCTTACACAAGGTGTGGATAGATTTCATGGCAGTGTTACTGAGCCTCAACTGTCCATCTGTCCTTTGAAAGTGATCACTATTGATAATAATAGGAAACATGATCTGTTGTAATATAAGCACTGATCTCTTGCTTAGAATACCTTTAAATAAAAAAGATATTTTAAATATTGAATGTATTGTAATATGATACAGATCGAAATCCTCTTAGCTCAGGAGTAAAATTTTGATAACAGAAAGAATTGTGGGTTTAAATTCGTGTAGGGCCACACTTCTGTGTTCTTATTTGTGTTCATAAAATGCTTTTTTTGTCAAGAATTAGAGATACCTTCAGTATTATGTTTTTAAAGATTTGTGACTGTTTATACTTTCATTTTCTAGTTATATGGGAATGAAGGTATGTCAAGATAAATATTCCATTCCTTCTGGCCAAACACTGGAATACACAAACAACTTCAATCAGCTCTTCATTTGAGCTTCTCCCTTAAGTGAGACAGTGTTACCCACACTGGGCCAGAGGAGCAAAGCATCTGCTCATTCAGATTTTGCTTAAGGCATACTTTGCAAAGCTGCTTCTTGTGGGACTGGTTTGTTCCCCTTCTGCCTGCTGATGCTGAAAGCAAAGATGGCCTGGCCCAGATAAGAGTGTCACCTGGTGCAGGTGCAGTGGTAACAGGTAGAAATACCAAGAGCCAGTATGATTTCTGAACAAAAATATGGCCCAGTGAAGAAGCATTTTTGAAAGAATCTGTGTTATGAAATGAAAGTGTAGGATATTCTTCAAGAATATCGCCTTATTCCCTGAAGACGTATCTTGAATTTAGACTCATTAGACTTAGAAGCAGGTAGGAAATGGGAACTCTTAGAGCTTCTGTAACTCACATTCTTTTCACTGCTAAGTTTTAGCCACGCTCTCTTTGCAAATCCCTATTGATTTTTCTGAATGTCACACTTCCTTTAGCTAAACCGATCCCTGCTGATATTTGTCTTCTTCCTTTTAAGCGGAATTAAAAGTGAATGAACAAGTTTGTGGATAGCATGGATAAAGTGCTCTTTGATAGATGTACTTCTTGTCTTCTGAACAAAGATGAGTGCATTCAGCTCTTGGTACTAAGGAGGAAATATTTTCCTCAATCTCATTCTGTATAAATCCCTCATTTAAGTCTAAATGGAAATTTACCAGAAAAAGGAAGGATATTTGTGAAGCTTACTTTTACTTTTACCACTGCAGTATCTTTTTCTTGTGGATCCAGGATACAGTGGGGTGCTTTCCTTCTGGGATTTGAACAGACACAAAAATCCAAAAGGAGTCAGTAGGCAGTTACACTTAATTTTGAGAGTAAAGCAGGCCAAACTTTAGGTTCTTTGTTTGTTTTGTTTCTACCTCCAGCTATAAATCATCCCAGATTCATCAAACTGTTTGCAAAGCTAATCCAAGCTGGACCAAGTTACAGACTGGACCAAGATGTAGGTTTATAGTAATGTCTGAAAACAGGAAAGACTTTACATCAGAAAGGAAAAACTATCTGGTTTCATTACATGTGGCTTCAAGTTTCATTACAAAAGGTTTTACATGGCTTTGATCCTCTAATTTGGCTAAAACCTGGAAAAAAAAAAAAAAAGAAGAAGTGATCTCCATGTGCACACAGGCATTTCAGTGCATGCATGTGACTAAATTAGATATGCTGTACCTCAGTAAACTACAGTGTATTCCATGCAGACGTGCTGCATTTAAATGCATAGAGTGCAAAGTCAAGATAGATTAGGTCAAACCTCCTTGCTGCCAGCTACCTTGAATTCTTAATCATACCTGCTGCTCAGGGGAACTAAAAAGCCTGAATAAGTTCCTATCCTGAAAAACAAACAAAAAAAAGTATGCACTTTCACCCTTATATATCCATGTATATATATACACACACACACTGAAGATTTTACAAGAAGAATCTGTTTTCCATAATGCTTTCTTATGGAGCCACAATTAAGTCAGTCTTTAAGAGAGAGTACTAAAGAAATTACTTCAAGAAATGACTTCACTAGAAGTAGTTTTACTACAATAGTACTCACTTAATTTTATTTTTTGTTTACAGACCTCCTGTCTTTCATTTTTGTGTGCTGTTGCTGAAGAGGAATTGCCAATTCTCTTTGTTCCCCTGGAGCTTGGAGTGCAGCACTGAAGAGCAATCTCCTTTCCCACAGATTCTCAGCATCGGTTCAATGGGGCAGCAGGGCAGAGATGAACAAGAGGGGCACAAAGTAACACAAGTGATTGCTCCACATTTCCATACCCAGGTTTGGTGCCCTGAGAACTCCTTTTGTTTTAGCTGATAGGAGTCACAGTGGCTCCAGGCCAGCTAAGTTGGATTTACAGCTGGTTTGCTTCACTGAAACAGCATTAAGCGGCTTAAATCAACAGTGAATCTGGCCCTAGATGTCTTAAATCTTTAATATTTTCTTCTGTCTCATCTAAGATGGTTGTTTTCCGGAATTTCACAAGCCTGTTAATTACCATATGAAATTCAAAGGAACTGAGGTCACTTCTGCTAAAAGAACTCATTCCCAAACAGTTCTTTCATGTCCGCATGAGGTAGGATGACTTGTGTAGCTGGTCACTATTTTCTGGACTTTAAGTGTCCTTTCTACAAAAGCTTAAAAATACATATTTTTATTTGTTACCCATAAGCAATAGCAGCAAATTCCCTTGTGAATTCACTGCCTAAAGTTTGATAATATTCCTTGTTAGTGTTATTTCCCAGGCATGCATGCCTTACCTATTTGAATGCTTATTCTTTGTTCTCTTAGTAAAAAACCCAAACAAACCAGGCTAACTGGGGCATATTTTCTGTTTGTAGTGTTTGCATGTGATTGCTGAGCACATTTTCAGTGAGTTCTAGTTTCAGTGAGTTCCTTTCAATTAAGCTGGTTACAGTTGCTTTTCGGAATGAAACCTGAGAGGCATCATTCTCCATGGCATGCACAGATTGGAAATTTTATTACTTAAATGTTTTGACAACCACAGTTCCCACTGATTGGTACTAGCACTTTGCCATAACAGCTTAATAAATAATACTCGATTTTTAAATACTCAAATGGTAATTAATTTGAGAGTGTTCTTTCCATCACCAGCATGGTGTTTTAGCCTGATTAGACACCTCAAATTATCTTAGGGAAGGCACATGCAGGAAGGTGACTGCTGTGACTTTCTGCAAATGGAAAGGAAGATGTGTCACCAGGCACAGTCAGGTAGGCTGGAGTCAAGTGGGTGGGAAAGGAGAAGCAAGCAGTGTCTGGAGTGCCTGGAGCAGGAGAGAAAGTGTGAATGCCCATGGCTGGTCTGTGGTTTGTGATAATGAATGATGAGCACTGTTTTGATCACTTTTGCTTCTCACATTTAAGCTGCTTTTCGAAGTTTCTCATTAAGGTTTTTTGTTTGCTTCTTTTTTTTTATTTAGAGCAATAATGAATCTTTTTTGGCAGAGGAGTATATGCTGTGCCACATGATCTTGCTTGTGGATATTCTGTGTAGATCTATGGGTCTTCTGTGGTCAGTTTTATTTATTGTTGACAGTATCTCATGCTCTTACCTTTCCTCTACAAAATAAGAATAAAACTACACAAAAATGGGTGAACCATTAGGAAAGGAGATCCAGTGAAAAACAAAACAAAACAAAACAAAAACAAAACAAAAACCAAAACAAAAAACCAAACAACAATAAGAAAGGGAAGGAAAGAGAACAGGCAAACCTCAGACTCTTTAAACTGGCTATTTCCAAACAGCAAGCAACTCCTAAAGCCCAGATCAGAAGGTACTCCTCTTATTGCTGTTACCATAGCAGAAACACATAAATGTGATTAAATAAATACAGCTAATCAGAAGCAAAAGAAAAAAAAAACCCAACCAAATTTGCTGTAGAACCAGCTCAAGTTAACCTAGTCTCAGAGGACTTTGAAAGAAAACACATTTCTAAAGATGTTCTGTGAGAGATTTTAGGCACAGCTGCAGGAAAAAGACAGTATCCTTTTCCTCTCTCTGGAAGCATTAAATCTGTTCTGGAAATTAAACAAAGTCGACAAAGTTTCATAGAAACAACAGATTGAAGCCTAGAATGTTAAAAACTATGAGAAATAAGAAACATGTCCTGAAGAAAGGCTACTGGATAATTTTAAGGAACTTTAATGTCAGAATAAGCAACCCAGCCACATTCATCCTATTTTGACTTGTCTCTTGTGATATGGAAAGTATCCTAAAAGGAATTTTAAAAAAAGTATAAGTAGTAGCAGTCAAAACCAGATAACCATCCTGTGCTGTAAGTCTAAAAATCTACAAAATAAGTAAGTTTATATCACTTTATGGCTGTCAGACTGTTTCAGAGGAGCTAGTTTAACATTTTCTGAATTTTAAAACCATTAGAATGTTTTATCTCATTATCTGTATGTATAACCTTCTTCTTTAAGGCAGGTCTTCTGATCCCTCTACAAATGTTACTGCATATCTAAAACAGGAACAAAAAAAAACAAGTCTCAATTTTCTATATGTAGCACAGGGCACTGATTGAGAGTGCTGAGGCTCGATGTGTAGAACTAGAGGAGTTTCCCTCTAACCTGGAATGAAATAAAAAGATGGAATTGTAAAGACCAGAAAACACTACTCAGATCAGCATTCTGAAATAACGTTGTGGATCTGGGAGGCAGTTTTGAAGCCTGTTCCCATGGCTGAGCAAAATTCCTGCAGCACGGGTGTCATGCTGTAGAGCTGGAGTGTATTTGCTGGGACTGTGCATAGCCAGGAGTCTTGCTGTTCAGTGAGATGACTGCTCTTTCTCAGCCTGACAAATGACATCCAGCTCTGACAGAATACTTCTTCTCTGCTGGCCATCACCCCTACGGACACTGGCCAGAACAGCAGCAGCAGGAACAAACCCTCCAACTCTGATTTAATTACATGGAGCCCAGGAGACTAGTGAATGGAGCTGTTAACTCTGTGTTTAGTTTGCTTTTCCCATCTGTGTTTTATTAAACGGAGAGCAAGATTTATTCACTTTTTTTAACATCAGGATCTGTTGGTGTCCAAAATGATGGTTGATGTTAAGGTATGCATACAGAGTTTAACCTGGCTGAGGGCCAAAGAGGCCTATGATTTCCAGACTAGACGATTTATTTACAGAAGGACACTAAATCCATCTATTCTAAAATATTTTAGAAAGGATGAGCCTGACTTCCCACTCTCCCAGGAACACAATACATTGGGAACACAGTGAAAGAGCAGGCTCTCCAGGCATGCAGGCAAACACTTCAGTTTTACTGTCCTCCTGACAGCCCTTACATAGTCACAACTACCAATGATTTTCTGATTTCTGCTCCAGGAATCTTAAATAGATTGGAGGTACTAGCTCTGTCTATAGATACTTCTAAAATCCAAGAATCCTGAATGGCTCAGCTGGTGAACTGCACTTCATGGGAACTGAAATTATGTGCCAGGCTCTCCACTGTAAGGTGAGATAGCTGAAGCACAGACAGCTGCACACCAATGAGCTACTGCAGGAATAACACTTGCTTCCAAAGGAGTAGAAAAGAACCAAAAGATGGGATTTTGAATTGCTTTGGAAAGATACACTTTTGATCAAATAATAGGGTTAACTCAAGACAGAAATATCAAGTGTGTGTTTGTCGGAATTGTAAAGGGTTTTTTAAAAAAATGTAAGTTTCAAGCAGCAACAGATAAAGCTCCCAAAATAGAGCTTCAAAACAAACAGCCCCCAAGACTTGACAGTTTTCCAAATCTTCTGTGCATTTTCTTCTTAGCAGGGAGCTCCTTTTTGTAATATACCCCTCTCTCTCTTATCTCTTAGTCATCACCTTAGTCACCACATCTTAGTCATCCTCTCGTCAAAATTAACATGGTGACAATCCACTTTAGTGCCTTGCTCCCATCCCTGCAAGTACGCTATGGATGACTAGGTCTTCCAGACTTTTTGTCATTTCCAAAACCTCTGCATGCTCCTCTTTCAAAGCAAATGCCTTCATAACATCATGAGTGTCATATTGTGGCACCTAGACATATTACACATCATATTACAATGATTCTTGTAATACTAAGGCTCTTGGTGTCCCCCTATGGCAATAAAAAGTATCCTGAAGACAAAACTTTTACTACAATAGATCTTATGAAATTAACTCAAAGCTTGCTCATAGCCTACCATTGGTTTGCTTAGAACAGAGCTTTTATCCCTCAAATATCCATTTACCCCAGAAAAGTTAACACAGACTGCAGAATCTGGTTCCATGTGTGATAGCTGCTGTTCTGAATTGACTTGCAGTGTTAATAAAAGAGCAATGCCTTTAGTTAGCTTTATTCAAGAATGGTCTTTTTTCATGCTCTTTCACAATTTTGTCATCTGTTAGATGACAGTAAGAGCTGTGCAATACAAATTAAGCAGTATTCACGTGTTTTCTCTTTTTTACAGCTTTTAAGAACACTGGCAAAAATGATGGAATCTTCCTTTTATTTTTCTTAGTTTCTAATGAAAGAATTCTAATTGTATGCTGTGCTAAACTGAAGTGAGAACTTGGCCACGATACTGAGTCATATCCTTCAGATCCAGTGCATTTTATGGATTTTATTCAATACATTAAAAGCAGACTGTGTGACAGTGATTTCTAGGGGAGGTAGCAGACACAAGAAGAAAAACCTAATCCCTAAGCTGTGTTAAAAGCTGCACGACTTATGTTTTTGAATGAGCACCTGTGTCTGGAGTGTTCTGCAAAGAACTAAATTCTCCACTGTGGCAGTGATACCTAAAGTGACAGCTCCTTCATATCCCCATTTCCCTTTCGGGGAACACAGGGACAAGGCAGCTTATAATAGCAGTATTACAAGACACTTGATTTAGGTATTAGAAAGGTGATAGAGTGACCCATCCCATTGAGGGAGTTACCTCTTGTCATGCACAATGGCACTTTGTGATGCTTCAGGATGCATGAGGTGCTGAGAAAGGGGGTAAGGAAAGCTCAGTCACCACTTGATGTGGGCACCTTGTTTTTCTTCAAAGCTGAGTTTGGTTTTGGGGTGTTGGGAGCATTTCTTTC